ACCTCCTTTCCTGTGCTAAAGGAGCTCCAGCGTTCCCTGCGCTGAAGGAGGTGAGAAAGGAAGCAGCTTTTAGAGGATTCAGCCAGCTCTGTTAGAACCTCCCTGAGGCAAAACGCCTTTTGAAACGCAGCTGAAGTGTCTCGACACGAAGTTCCAGTCCCGAAAGAGTTAAACTTCAAAGTAAATTTCGGGTTCCTGAACTGGAGTCTTCATTTTCACAGATTCAGGTCTTTGTTGGGTTAAATTGTCTTTACGTCCCGACAGCGATCAATCAAACGGCCGCATGCGTCACCTCTCTGCCGCCTCCTGCCGCAGCTTGAAGACTCAATGTGTTGGGTTTCTGTAAATATCATCTCTCTTCTGAAAAGAGACGTGAGATAACTTGTGATTTGGCGCTAATAAGTAAAATTGTCGTCAGACAGACCAGCAGAATGAAGTGATGAACACACAATAACTAAACCATAATGAGTACTTTTACTTTTGGTACTTACAGTATATTTTTTATGATAGTACTTCATACAGAGTTTACTTGTACCAGATCATTTCTACCTCGTGGTATTTGTACTTTACTTCATTTTCTGACTTCCTGTTTCTCGGTGTCGGGCTGATGAAGACCATGTTGAGAGTTCTGGAAGAAGTTTGTAAGCGGACCTTTAAACTTAACTCATTCTTCTGAAGCGCCCCCTGACGTCACAGCTGCGTCCTGGTTAGTCCAGCTGCAAGGCGTGGCCTGATGATGTCACGGTGACCTCATCACTGCTGCTCAGACTCTGGACTGACCAGAGACCGGTCCCTGTTCCAGCCTCACCTGTGTGTCTCACCTGTGGGTCTCAGGTCTCAGGTGAATGCATGTCAGTGTGAGTATTGGTGGTGGTGCAGTGGATAAGACTCATGCCTTTAGTGTGAGAGACCCGTGTTCAATCCCCAACTGTAACCCATCCACTATTGTGTCCCTGAGCGTGACACTCGCTGCTCCAGAGGCGTGCGACCTCTGACATGGATAGCAATTGTAAGTCGCATTGGATGAAAGCGTCAGCTAAATGAATAAATGTAAATGTATTCAAATAGTTTTCCTTGGATTTGTCTGGATGAGCAGAGACTCCACCTGACAAACAAATGATGATGTCACAGGTCAAACCGGCGCAAACAGATGTTAAATGTAAAGCAGATGGTTCAGTTTGCATCGTGTTTTACATGAGAAGCAAACATGACTGCTTTCACCTGAAGATATGTTCTACTGAGGCCTGCAGAGTATTTCAGGTACTACGGTGTGTGTACTTTATGTAGCTTTTAAATGACATGTAGTTATTTTATTTAGCAGTATTTATCTTATACTGCTAACGTGTATTTCCTCTCTGGGGATCAATATCTCTGTCTCGAATGGACCAAGCAGGAACCTCTGGGTCTGAACCTGAAGCACCTTAAACCTGCGTCCTCTCCAGCAGCCAGCAGGGGGCGACTTAAACCTGCTGCGGCTGCAGAAAGAAGTGTGATTGTATAAAAGTCTGTGAGAAAATGTTTCTACTTGTCAGCTGATTTATTCCCTCAGTAAACTCTTTCCTGATGAGTTTCTGGTCTCAGTCGCTAGTTTCAAGTCTTCTTCAACACAGCATGATGTTCATTTAGTAAATTATGGTCCCATTTAGAGGAACAGAGACCAGGAAGCAGCTCTATCCACCATAACTACAAATGGACTCCTCAACCATCACTCCAACCAAGTTGGTGAGAAACTTGGGTGTCATGAGTGCGTCTGGTTTTTGAGCAGCCCAAAAGGACTCATGTCCCTCCATTACTCAGTGACCTCCACTGGCTCCCCGTGGCCTCCAGAATGAAATTCAAGTCACTAATGCTGCATACAGAGTAACTACTGGGTCTGCACCATCTACCTAAACTCCATAATACAAACACTTACGTTCCTTCTTGGCCGCTACGCTCCTCCAGCGAACGCCGCCTGGCTCTGCCATCCCTTCACACAAAGCAATCCCAGTCCCTGTTCTCATCTGTGACACCACGATGGTGGAACGAGCTACCGCACGCCATCAGAGGGGGGCGTCCCTCTCTAACTTCAAGAAGCTCTTGAAAACACTTTCCAAATGAGTCGGCTGCTCATTTTTCACTGAGTGCGTTTTGTTTTCAGCCTATTTGTCACTAACTAAAATTAATTTAATTAATTAAGCTAATATCACAACTAACGTGAACTACAGATGCACCTTGCTAACCAAGCTAGCTAGCTCCACCCTCTTGTCCAAATATGGTCACATCCGGTTCCAAAACAAACGAGATGGCGACGGCCAAAATGCCACACTGGAGGCTACAGATCGCTGGTCCACAAACCAACGGCGGCTCCGCCCACTTATTTTATAACACCTGTATTTTGGTAACTACAAAGTTTTAATGCTAATGAATCAACATTTAGTTTTTATTTATATGTTGTTGTTACGGGAGTGAAACTGGTTTCATAAACCTGTTAACCAGCTTCACTAACGAGCTGCTGCTGAGAAGCCCAGGTGTGGATTCATCCACCGCAGAAAGTAGTCCCCAACAGATGCTCTATTTCGGGTTAGAAAGCAGACTGTTAATTTAAAGCAACATTACAGCTTCTCTCTCTTCCTCCTCTTCTTCAGGCTCTTCAGGCCGTGAGGATACCGAGCTGGCTTCTTCCAGAGAACTCACATTGTACATTAAACTCTTGTTGCTTCTTCTTACAGCTCGCCGGAGAGTCGTGTTGGTGCCGTAAAGCGTTACGCCGTTGTTTATTAATGATAAATGTCCTGCCTGGGACTCCAATGTACTTCAGCTGTAGTGGAAATGATTTTAAAGATCCTACATAAAGCTGCTTTAACTGATGCATCTACAAACACACAGGTGAGTCTTTTCTGAGTGCAGGTGTGAACTGAAGGTGTTCCTGTTGCCTAGCAGCACACACACAGTTTAATGAGGCGGTTTAATGATCCAGGTTCAGTTTACAGGTTTTATTTTAGCACATGAACTGATCACAACTCAGCATCAGCTTACATCACTACTGGACTACATCTCCCATCATCCCCTCTGGGTTTAAGGCTACAGCAGCTGCTCGGTGACACAGAAACAAGATTTAATAATCACACAAACAGGGAAGATCAAACGATAAGAACAGGAAGAAACGGCGAGCATCACTAAATATTGAGCTGCGTTAAAGCTCCTGTGAAATTTCTGTTTACATTCAGAGTTTCTCTTCTAACAAACATGTTCGGTTTGTTTCCTTCATCATTAAAGAACTGCTGCTCTAACAGGAACTCCACAGGGACTTTTTAACTTTTCAAACAGCAGAAACAGGAGGACATTCTGTGAGTTATTCAACTTTAAAATGTTAATTTACAGAAACACTTTTCAGTTTACAGACTTTAAAAACCTATTTTCAGTCCAAAATTCAAATTGAGTTCTTGAATCTGTGGTGGAATCAATAAAACCAGATAAAGATGAGGGTTTTTTGTCCCTTGACATCGTCTTCAATGCGACGTCCTTCACCTTTTTTATACTTCATTTACCAACAAGAACCCGTTAAACTCCAGGAAGCTTTAACAAACTACAAAAGTCAGAAACTTGTTTAAAAAAATAAACTTTTCCCAGTTAAACTCTGATTGTATGCGGTTGAGTTTCAGTGCAAACGTTAGATTCCAGTTAAACAGTCATGTGACCTGCTCAGAGAGCTAATAAAACATTTAATTAGTCATGTTTTCCAGTTCATTTCATCCAGTTACACAACGTTTATGTCTTTTATCTTCAGTGTCACTGTGAAATGATTCATGACCGTTCGTCTCAACATGATCGGGACCTTTTGGAAGAAAAATATGAATTAAATGTTAGAAATTATCAAATTAAAGTACTTGTGGTTAAATGATGCGTTAAAAAGCATTTTAAGAATCAAAACGTTGAGGTATTAACCTTTAATTGTTAGTTGCTGCCCTAAACAGTTTAGCATTAGCTTAGTACATGTTCACTACATTTATAAAACCATAGCCATAATGCTACGTTAACATTAGCAAGCTAACATTAGCTTATCGGCTTCTTGGGTTCAGGGTTTTGAAAACTGCTTTATTAAACAACCACCGAGACTGGATGTGTCCATGATGAGTCGGCTAAAATTAGCTTGCTAGCCGATGTTAGAGTTACAAAGCTAACATGTTGCTTCTAATTTATCAACGTGTTTTTTTCCCAAGCTTGGTCTCACTTCACTCTCAGCTGGATCCCAGTCGGTCTCACCTCCTGATGTTCAGATGCTAACAACAAGGTACCGCCTCTTAGCTAGTTAAATGTTATAGCTATCCAGGGTTCAGGGTTAAATGATCAGTAAAACAAAAACTTGAGCTAAAGATGTGACCTTGGGTTTCACAATTTTAATTTTAAACTAAATGATTCATCAGTTTATTGGGAAAATACTTTGTGCAGATTGACAGACCTAGCTAGCTGGTATCAAGCATCATCCCTGTTTCTTGTACATCTCAGCATAAGTTAGCTAATGCCAGCTAATTAGCTTGATTAGCTCATCGGCTACAGAGGTTCATGGTGAGAAGGACTGCAAAACAGCCGACAGGTGTTTATTTGTCTGTGATGAGTCAGCTAAAATCAGTTAGCTTGCGTGCAGTTGTTAACTGCACAGCTATTGTGCTTGTTAGCTTATTAGCTGTTTTTCTTATGTTCATCATTTGTTATTCTAATTTGATATTATGTCTTTTAATCATAGTTTTAGTTTGACTTGTTCTTTAGTTTTAGATTTACTTTCTCTTTAGCTGTTAGATTTGTTAGCCTGATTTAAACTTCTGTGTCGAGTCAACGCCGTAGCCCGCAGCGTAAGCTACGCACGTAGCCACGCATTTAGACGTGTGTCGGTGCCTGCATCACTCTGCCATTACACCACCAAAACACTAGTTGGCAGTAGCGTTATTCTGCCACTGTGTAGACTTTTGCTGGCCGAGCAGGCTAACTTCTGTTTCAGCCTTTCGCTAACTTAATGATAATCGTGTGGCTTTCTAGACTTTTTAAATGTTAAAGACGGATCAAATTTCTTGTGGGCTTGGGAGAAATGCTACTAAGCCGACCAATCACAGTTCTTGTGGTGTGCGTCGCCTCGACATGTAGTTACATTTTTAGGGAGGTGCAAGTCACGCTAGAGCCTCAGGCTACGGCGTAGATTCGACGCAGAAGTATAAATCAGGCTTTGATGCAGCTGGTCCTGATCTGTCGAGACGCTCAGTCAAAGACTGAGATCTGATGTTTCAGTTTTTTTGAGGGTTGGACTCAAACATTGTGAGAATCAGTCCAGTTCTTCTTAAACATTCCTGAGTCTCTGAGTTTCCAGCTGCGACTGGAGGCTGTTGATTCGTCGTCGCCTCCGGTGTTTCAGAAAACATTCACATTCAGAAAGAAGGAGGTGAACCTGCTGCAGACAGTCTCCTGCTGCAGGGTCTGCGCTCTGCGTGCATAGTGGTTGGGTTTCCCAGCTGTGTAGGTTTTAAGGTCTCAGTTGGCTCCAAAAAAAACTTAGTTTCTTATGACGTAAAACACCATGAGTTCGAGCAAAAATCTCTCACGTGAAAAGTAACAGAATAACTTGTGAAGAATGAAACCCTGCTAGAGACACGGTGGTGCTAACGCTAGCGTGTTAACTTGCTCACTATGACAATGCTAAACTCAGCATGTTAGTATGCTAACATAGGCTAAATTGGTATTCACCAAAGTTATTTTAATTCACCTTCATACAATATTCATCCTCCTTCGGCAGCTGTCTCATCTTCATGTCCAGCTGCAGAAACCTTCATCCTGTTTAGAACTTCTCCAACAGGTGTTGTTAAATTATTCAAAAAGCAAAATAAAAAGGATCCAAAGTGATGGATGTGAACAGAAGTGACATGATCAAGTACCCGCAGAGTTTCTCCTCGTCTCTGAACTCTCGTCTTGGCACATTTTCGTTCACTTTGACAAGTTTTGTTTTTAAAGGTACCTTGTTTTTATTTGTGCAAAAAAAAAGTGACTTTATGGGATTTTCAAAACCTGGAAAAGTGTTTAAGGACGTTAAAATTAAATTTATGCTACTGTGGTTTTGTGAGGAAGATGTTTACTTTGTGCACGGAGTCATTCAGCCGGACTGTCCTGGTTCCTCCCGACTGGCCCTCCTGATTTTTCCAAATAATTTAAAAGTGGTTGATCCAGCAGCTTTGTCTCAAGTCCGACAAACAGAAGCAGACGCTGCGTTCAGCGTCGTGGCGTTACCTGGACTGGAGCGGTCGAAACCAGTTCCTACCAGAACGACTCAGTACCATGTGGCTCACTTCGGGCTCTTGCAGTCTGGGTTTAGTTTGGTGCTGTTGGAGGGGGTGATGGGGGAGGAGGAGGAGTCCAGTTGTCGGTACAATGCCCTCAACTCCTTCACCTCCTCCAGCACTTCCTGTGCCTGGCTCCAGGCCGCCACCGCCTCCTTCAGGAGTCTCTCGGCTTCAGCTCGCGCTCCTTCAGCCGACTCCTTTCCCTTCATCTTCCCTCGCTCCCCGGCCTCCCCCCGCACCTCCCTCAGCAGCCGCTCCGTCTTCTCCAGCTTCTGGCTGATCAGCTCCTGCAGCTGGCTGACTGGCGCCGTCGTGCCGCTTGGCGTGGACGCTGGTGAACAGGACAACGTCTTGTTCTTCGCAGCTTTAGAATCTGAGTGCGTCAGGATCTCGTCCATCGAGGCGCAGCGGTTTTTCTCTGCAGTCGTCAGGCGTTTTCCACCCTGGGGGGTTTGGGCGGGCCCCGTGTGCTCCCACACCACCGCCACCTCACGGGGAAGGCTCTGGGATTTCCCAGAAGCCTCGGCGGTTCTGGCAGAGAGATCGCCATCAGTTTTTGACCTGGGACAGTCCTGGCCGAGGTGGGATTTGTCCACGTCGACACTGAAGGTGTCGCAGCCGTCGGCTCCCTGAGGAGACAAAGCGTCCTCCTCCTGGATCAGATCCAGGGTCAGCATCCCGTCTGAGGAGGAGGTGGAGGCCTAACAGACAGAGAGGAGGTGCAACAGGTCAAACAGAAACCTTTCACACACCTGTGACCACATTCTGAGCAGTGACACATGAAACCTGGTTAAAGTCGTCCTCAGGTTTCACCATCTGAAGCATGAAAGACCTTTTCTTTACTTGCTTGTTGTGGAACCTTTTGACAGGATCACACATGTTCTTCATCAGCAAATCACTTTGCTTTGATGTTCAAACTTCACATCGTTTTGTGCGACAGAGCTCAACAGAACTCTCCCAAAACTCCTTATTTAAAGAGCATTGAGCCTTAAACCGATCCAACCAGCTACGATATGAATCATGACCACAGAATGTTTGAAAACTGTGTACATCATTATTTAACTGAGTGAAGGAACTACTTTTCCCATAAACCATTGCAAATGATGAAATTTCCAAAGACTTCCAACCTAACGATAGTTTAGCTTCTTCGTACGGTTAGGTGCTAGCAGGAACAAACATGACATTTGAGGGTTTTAAACATTTTCAACAGTAACAGCGAGCTCCACCAATCAGAGACGATGCTGTTACACCCGAGGACTGTGGGTAGTGTAGTACTTCTCTATGACATCATGACTAAAACATATTTTACTTATAACAATGTTGATATCACGCGGACTTCTACAGGAGCAGAAACAAGCTTATCACAGTCTGGTAGCTGGTGGTGAGTCCAAATCAGACGGTTACGAAGGATCAGAATCCCAAAACAGAACATGACCCTCACTGTTCAGCTCTATTTATAGGACTTTAGAGGACTGGGAGGACCATGTAATACAGTCAAAAACTCCACAACAAGGGACTAAGTGGCCCCTTGAAGTTGTTCTGTGTTGAACTCTTTACAACGTGAGGAACTCAGACAAATGAAAACTGTGAACATCAGCTGATGAAGACCATGTGATTCAGTCAAAAGCTCCAGAACAAGCGCGCAAGTGGACCTTGAGTCAAGATCGGTTTCAGTTTGAGTTATGACTTGTAACTCTAACTACGACGTCTTTCTTTCCTCACAATTACAACGAAGGTGTTAATTTATTACACATTTTATTATTAATATATTTCAGCAAATATCTCAAATGAAGTGATGACGTTTTATGATGAAAAGGCTTCTGATAGGGGAGAGTGAGTGAGGAGGAGCAGCAGACTGACCACAGCCAGCAGGTGACCTCTGGTCGGCAGTCGGCGGTTGTGAGGAATCTTCACTCGGTCTCGAGTCAGGTGAGACAGCTGCGAGTCGTCCACAATCACCTGGAGATGACGACACAAACACGTCAGGTGCGAAAAGAAGCAGCAAACCTTTATTAACACGTAAAACACGAACACACTTTCATTTCAGATTGCATTTCAAGGCTTTTCCAGGACTCCCTGGATGAACACCACTGATGAGGCACTGGTTCTTTCAGCCGGGAACATAATGTGTGTGTCAGAGAACGGGTATTGATCAGAGTATTGATCAAAGTATTGACTGGTGGAAAAGGTTGTTGACTGAACCAGCAGACAGCAGCTCTGACACCCTGAAATAAACACAGCTGTTACAGGAAATACTGCCTTCTGAAACCTAACATGTAGACGGCTCAGATTTAATGCAGAGCTCAAGTTGCATTAAACAAACAGACAAGTGAAGGACAGGTGCATGCAGGTGTTAGTGACTATTGTGTGTCAGCTGATTAACAAAGATTAGATTCAAATTGGAGGATTTCATCATCTCCCACGAACAAACACAGACATGTTGTTGGTATTAATAAAATAATAAAAATGATAACACCAGGTGTAGCCTTTAAAAACTGGGCTCTGATCCGCACCTCATCCAGGATCCTGTTTTTGGCTCGCGTGACGGCGGCATTCAGGACGTTGATCCAGGACTCTTTCTCCTCCGGACTCACAGCCAGGAAGACCAGGTTCGGGACCTGCAACACACAAAACACAGGTTCACATGTGGGTTTTAATCCAGGTGTTCTGGCTTCATACGTGGTCCTGAGGAAACGGGTCTGTGGATCACACAGAGGAGACCTCGCGTTAGCCTTTAGCAGCAGGTTTATTTTGTTGTAGCTTGTTAATTTAATGATTCTTCATTTAGTTTTGGTGTTAACTACTAGCTTGTTTTAGCTTGTTGTTTTTATTAGTTTAGTTGTAGTTAGCTTGTGTTAGCATGTAACATGTTTTGTATTTGAAATATGAAATAGGATTTAGTCATTTGTATTTGATAGGCTCCATGAAAATGGCTTCATATTTGTTTCAAAATACTTCGGTGTTTTGTATTTTGCAGTTTAAAAATACTGTAATACAGTGTGAGAAGTCTACCTGATGACATCATATAAACGCTGCCTCTGATTGGTTCTTCTCAGTAATTTGCCCAGTGAGTGAGATCAGAACAGAAAATTAATCCAGACTAGATTCCATCCATTTTTAGCATAAATTTCTATGATTCTTAACACTTCCTGTTTTGGTGTTTGTTTTAGCAGCTAAATTGTTTAACAGTTTACGTAATGTTCTATAACTACTAGCAGCCCTCACAGTTAGCGTTAGCCTGCTACTTTCAGCCTGTGTGTTTATCGGTTTGAAAGTAAAATAATAATAAAGTCTTTTAGAGGTGATCAAACTTTTAGGTAAACATGAAACTGTTGGTTAATTTAAAACAAACCTTCCTCTGCGTGATTATATGTGAGATTTATCACATGTTGCTCTCAAACTGTTAATCAGCTGAGTCAGTTTCGGGTCATGGATCGATCAAACAGGCTGATAGATGGAAGGTTAGTTAGGCTAATACAGCACTTTTATTTTGAAACATTGCGTGGCTGCTGTATTCTGTAGGTTTTTTTGATGCACTTAAAATTATTTGGTTTCTCATTTTAAAATACATTTTGATGTATTTCTGCCCGTCGCTGCTTATTAGATTCTTGATTTGTTGTTAGCATGTGTTAGCTTGTGTTAGCATGTTGTCAGAAACATTTACGGTTCATTAAGAGCAACAGAAACTGGAGTCACACTCACTGTATGTGTAAACAGACTTAGTGAAGTAATGAAGCCGATTCTGGTTTAAATTCTGATTCAGTCTTTTAATGTTTGTGATTGGACGACAGTGCTGACATCACGCTGCACAACACTGGTTGACCTATCACAGTGCAAGACCCCCCCCACACACACACACTTTGCTGTCACCAGATGGCCGAGTGTGTGTGTGTGTAATAAGAGCTGCCACCTGTCTGCAGGACACCTGATCCCCTCCCCAAGGCATTCTGGGTATTTATGGGATGGCCTGCAGATATGTGAGCGCTCCTGTTGAGGAAAGTGGTTTAAAGCAGAATCTCCACCTGTTCGCTGTCAGCTGTTCCTGTTTCCATTCACATTTACTTTGGTTTGTAAAAACAGTTTCCTGTTTGTGGATCAACAGAAACTTGCAGAATAAACGCTGCAGTCCCGGAAGCAGCAGCTGTGTGAGGATGATGAGGAGGTCGTAACCTTCGTCACATTCACACCTGACACTAACAGAAAGGTCTGATGTCGTCATGTTCTCCACGTGGTTCCACCGTAACTCTTTTAATGATGTCAGATGTTTCTGATCAATAGTGACCCCACCGCGGCTCACGTTAACAAATATTCTCTGTCATAGATTTATTTAATAATTACAGAATAATCTGAAGGCCGTCCGTCATCCTGAGAGACAAGACTGAGGCTGATATCCGTAACGTTCATTATAGCCCCGTTTCCACCAAAAGTACCTTTAGTACCAGGATCAGACCGGTGAGTTCTCAGGTGCACAGACAGACAGGTGAGTTCTCAAATCACTGAGGTCAAATCACTCCAATCCTATTGGCTTGTTGCTAGAACGGTAAGGTGTGACGGAATAACCGGAGGAGTATAAAGCACACCTGTACACACTCATCATTAGCTTTTTTCTATTCAGCAGGCGCTCTGTATGTTGTTTGAAGAAAGCTCCAGTCCTACAAGCAGTGTCTTACCTGAAGAAGAAGTCTACCAGCATGTCCGGCAACCAGATGTACAGGTGTGTTTTTTCTTAAGCACCACGCGCCACCTCCACGCCGGTCTCTGCCATTCTGCCTTGGTTGTTTGTGTAGCGGCTGGCTGGGCCACTCCGCACACATTCATTCGGTTTTACAGTCTTGACCTTCCTTCGGCACCTGGCACTCGTGCGCTCTCCTCTTAGTCGTGCCACTTTATTGCACACAGGGGCAGGCGGGGTTTTCGGCACGGTTTCGTGGGTATCTCGTTCCCATAGTGTCGTAACGCAGTTCGAGTTCCCTCGAAGGGGAACGTCTCGGGGTACGTATGTAACCCTGGTTCCCCGAGAAGGGGAACGAGACACTGCGTCGGCCCGCCGCACCTCTCTCCCCGCCTGAAGCGCCTGCTTCATAGTTTAAGCTAATGATGAGTGTGTACAGGTGTGCTTTATACTCCTCCTGTTATTCCGTCACACCTTACCGTTCTAGCAACAAACCAATAGGATTGGAGTGATTTCATTCACATTCAGACCTGCTTCGCCTAGAGGCGTTCCCATAGTGTCGTAACCGACGCAGTGTCTCGTTCCCCTTCTCGGGGAACCAGGGTTACATACGTAACCCGAGACGTTCTCAGGTGAGTTCTCAGGCATACAGACAGACAGGTGAGTTCTCAGGCGTACAGACAGACAGGTGAGTTCTCAGGTGAGTTCTTAGGTGTACAGACAGACAGGTGAGTTCTCAGGTGAGTTCTCAGACGTACAGACAGACAGGTGAGTTCTTAGGTGTACAGACAGACAGGTGAGTTCTCAGGCGCACAGACAGACAGGTGAATTCTCAGGTGTGTTTCTCAGGTGTGTTCTCAGGCGCACAGACAGACAGGTGTGTTCTCAGGTGAGTTCTCAGGCGCACAGACAGACAGGTGTGTTCTCAGGTGAGTTCTCAGGTGCACAGACAGACAGGTGAGTTCTCAGTCGTAAAGACAGACAGGTGAGTTCTCAGGTGTACAGACAGACAGGTGTGTTCTCAGGTGAGTTCTCAGGTGTACAGACAGACAGGTGTGTTCTCAGGTGTACAGACAGACAGGTGTGTTCTCAGGTGAGTTCTCAGGTGTACAGACAGACAGGTGTGTTCTCAGGTGATTTCTCAGGTGTACAGACAGACAGGTGTACAGACAGACAGGTGTGTTCTCAGGTGTGTTCTCAGGCGTACAGACAGACAGGTGAGTTCTCAGGTGAGTTCTCAGGCGTACAGACAGACAGGTGTGTTCTCAGGTGAGTTCTCAGGCGTACAGACAGACAGGTGTGTTCTCAGGTGAGTTCTCAGGCATACAGACAGACAGGTGAGTTCTCAGGCATACAGACAGACAGGTGTGTTCTCAGGTGAGTTCTCAGGCGTACAGACAGACAGGTGTGTTCTCAGGTGAGTTCTCAGGTGTACAGACAGACAGGTGTGTTCTCAGGTGAGTTCTCAGGTGTACAGACAGACAGGTGTACAGACAGACAGGTGTGTTCTCAGGTGAGTTCTCAGGTGTACAGACAGACAGGTGTTCTCAGGTGAGTTCTCAGGCGTACAGACAGACAGGTGTGTTCTCAGGTGAGTTCTCAGGCGTACAGACAGACAGGTGTGTTCTCAGGTGTGTTCTCAGGCGTACAGACAGACAGGTGAGTTCTCAGGTGAGTTCTCAGGCGTACAGACAGACAGGTGTGTTCTCAGGCGTACAGACAGACAGGTGAGTTCTCAGGTGAATTCTCAGGCGTACAGACAGACAGGTGTGTTCTCAGGTGAGTTCTCAGGCGTACAGACAGACAGGTGTGTTCTCAGGTGAGTTCTCAGGCATACAGACAGACAGGTGAGTTCTCAGGCATACAGACAGACAGGTGTGTTCTCAGGTGAGTTCTCAGGCGTACAGACAGACAGGTGTGTTCTCAGGTGAGTTCTCAGGTGTACAGACAGACAGGTGTACAGACAGACAGGTGTGTTCTCAGGTGAGTTCTCAGGTGTACAGACAGACAGGTGTACAGACAGACAGGTGTGTTCTCAGGTGAGTTCTCAGGTGTACAGACAGACAGGTGTGTTCTCAGGTGTGTTCTCAGGCGTACAGACAGACAGGTGTGTTCTCAGGTGAGTTCTCAGGTGTACAGACAGACAGGTGTGTTCTCAGGTGAGTTCTCAGGCGTACAGAGAGACAGGTGTATTCTCAGGTGTTCTCAGGCGTACAGACAGACAGGTGTGTTCTCAGGTGAGTTCTCAGGCGTACAGACAGACAGGTGTGTTCTCAGGTGTGTTCTCAGGCGTACAGACAGACAGGTGTTCTCAGGTGAGTTCTCAGGCGTACAGACAGACAGGTGTGTTCTCAGGTGAGTTCTCAGGCGTACAGACAGACAGGTGTGTTCTCAGGTGAGTTCTCAGGCGTACAGACAGACAGGTGTGTTCTCAGGTGAGTTCTCAGGCATACAGACAGACAGGTGAGTTCTCAGGCATACAGACAGACAGGTGTGTTCTCAGGTGAGTTCTCAGGCGTACAGACAGACAGGTGTGTTCTCAGGTGAGTTCTCAGGCATACAGACAGACAGGTGAGTTCTCAGGCGTACAGACAGACAGGTGTGTTCTCAGGTGAGTTCTCAGGTGTACAGACAGACAGGTGTACAGACAGACAGGTGAGTTCTCAGGCATACAGACAGACAGGTGAGTTCTCAGGCGTACAGACAGACAGGTGAGTTCTCAGGTGAGTTCTCAGGCGTACAGACAGACAGGTGTGTTCTCAGGCGTACAGACAGACAGGTGTGTTCTCAGGTGAGTTCTCAGGCGTACAGACAGACAGGTGAGTTCTCAGGTGAATTCTCAGGCGTACAGACAGACAGGTGTGTTCTCAGGTGAGTTCTCAGGCGTACAGACAGACAGGTGTGTTCTCAGGTGAGTTCTCAGGCGTACAGACAGACAGGTGAGTTCTCAGGCATACAGACAGACAGGTGTGTTCTCAGGTGAGTTCTCAGGCGTACAGACAGACAGGTGTGTTCTCAGGTGAGTTCTCAGGCGTACAGACAGACAGGTGTGTTCTCAGGTGAGTTCTCAGGCGTACAGACAGACAGGTGTTTCTCAGGAGAGTTCTCAGGTGTACCGTGTTTCCTGGCGTGCTGCAGCGCTGCAGCCTGAACTTGCTGTGGTTCTTTTTGCTGCGACTCTTGTTCTTCCTGATCTCCTCGCAGCGTTCGTAGTCCGACAGGTCCAGAACCTCGTCGGCCCGACCCAGCTCCTTCACCTGCAGGTCACACGGGTCAAAGGTCAACTCAGATTTTATTTATACAGCGGCAGCTCATGACAGGATTAAAACAGATGCTTCAGAGCCGTTGGTGGTCAGAGCCAGGCTAGCTGTTTCCCCCTGTTTCCAGTCTTTATGCTAAGCTAAGCTAACCTTTCCTGACTCAGAGGGACAGAGAAGATGAAGAGCTTCCACCTGCTGCAGGTTTCTTTCAAAGAAGCAAAATAAAATGCAAATCCAGTCAAAGCCAGCAGAATGAGATTTACAGACGTGGAAACTTTCTTCAGGAGATTTAAATAGAAAGCAGCGTATTTCCCTAAAGCAACAGTGACGTCCTCGCTCTGAAGCTTCTGCAGGACGCTCACTGATGACCACAGACTGTCGGGTCAGTGAGACTTTAATATGTTCAGAGCGAAACAAAGTTCATTTTAATGGATTCTGTCAATTATTATTATTGTTATATTGTTGTTGTCTTACTTCTGTTTGTAGGATAATCAAGTTCTGAGTGTTGGAGCTACAGTTCCCATAATGTGGCTTTGGGGGATGTAAACAGGAAGTACAATGTTGCCATGGAGTCAGTGAGTTAGCTTTGAGCTTCAACTTAAGCTAACTGCAGTTAGCAGCTCCTGTTAGCAGTTAGCATGGATGTTCAGACAGCGCTCTCTGGATCAGTGTGAAGGTTCTCAGGAGGTTCTGCAGCGTCTCTCTGGTTTCTGAGCTGACTTCCGGACCGACGTCAGAGATCGTGATTTCCTCGGGAAGTGAAGTCAGTCTGAATGATTCATGTCTGAGAGTTTGGATCTGACTGAGTTCTGACTCTGAGAAGGAGGAGAGAGTTTTGACTCCAGCGGCAGTTTAACAAGCGTATGCAACGAAACAGAATCAGTGTTAAATAAATAAAGGAGGCAAAATGTATCTCAGAGATCTGACTGCTCTGCGTCTGCGATGGACTTCACTACCTTTAGTGGCCGAGTGAAGTTAGGACAGCTCCTGCAGAAAGTACGAACCATCCGGACACAGGATGTTGCGGCGAACGGCACAAGGTGTGCCTCGCCCGTGGGGACATATTAGGGGTGTGACGAAACACTTGAGAAAGCACAATACTGGAGTCTCGAGAACGAGACACCAAGATACTCCAAAGCTGTTTAGAAGAAATATTCTTTGATGAAACAGGCTATTCGATTTGGGGGTTCTGGGGGTTCCTCCAGAAGATTTTGAGCATTAAACTCTTAATATTCTGCATTCTAGAGACATTTTCTGCACCAATTTATGGTGGAAATGTCTTAATTTATATGAAGGGAAACACAAAATTCATGTGGCCGCTGACAATCCAGAATATTATCGAATATAATGCAGTAATCAGCAGCTTGTTTTAGCCTAAGTTACTTAAAATGCATTTCATGGTTTCCTATTGTGCCAGAAAGCCTTTCTCATAGAATTTTTATTTATTTAACATTTCTTGTTGCAAGCTAATTTTCAGAAAACATTTGGCAAATGTTTTTAAGGTTTCATTTAACAACAAAGGAGAACGTTTCTACTGCTGACAGCCGTCAGAGGAGGCTGCAGAGAAAGAGTAAAGTGTAAAACAGGTGTTGTGAAAAGGAAAATGATGATGGAATTCAACCGAATGACCGTAGATCGGATGTCTCGTCACTTTAAGGTCACTCTATTTCAGGTTCTAAAGTTTCTACCACGAGCTGCATATTTAAAGGCAAAGGCTCAGAAAGCTGCACGATTACTGCTGACTGAGAGAAAAACACTTTGGAAGGTCAAAGAGAGTCTGAACAGACAAGAGGAACAACTGATGAGGGAAGCAGAACCGGCTAACGCTCCGTTAGCCACCCTGGGAAGAAATTAAGTTACCGCCATCGCTCACCAGGCATCGAGTAAACCGTCTCAGAGTTACAGGATGAAAGCACCAATGAAAATCCAGCTGGACTGACGCCACCAGTATCTGCTGCTGATCCTCTGCAGCTCAGCAGGGGAGCTTGGAGAAGCTGCCATCATGTCTAATCAGCTTTTCTATAGTTATATTTTACATCGTAGAGTGAAATACGTACATTTAAGCCCTCCTAATTAGTAAAGACCAAACAATTAATGAAGGAACACTAAAGTCACCGCAGTGAAGATCCCAGCAGCTGATACGGAGCCCAGACGATTAAAGTTCTCTTCAAAAGTTCTGCTGCTTTTAACCTCCTTCCATTCCTGTCAAATTCATGCTAAACGCCTCTTCAAGGCAGATCCACAGTAAACTGAATGAGTATCTGCCTGGTTTTGGGCGTCTCTGAAAGAGAACAGACTGAATGTAAGAGCTACTGGAATTGATTAATATAAGTTTAGACACACTAAAACTAAAATATTTTTAGTTTTAATATATTTCTGCTTGAAAATGTTTGCCAACAAATGCATGCAGACAGCTACAGCTGGAAAACACTGTAGGACCGCAGCAGAAAACAGGGGCCGGCCCTTCCTTACAGCGCGGGCTCTCATTGGCTGCTGTAGGCTGTGAAAGGGACATGTGAGCTCCTATTGGTCAGATTTGTGTCAGTCAAAAGGTCAGAGTTCAGTGGCTAATTTGAATATAAGCTATTGTAGTTGTTTACGTCCAAGTCTGACAGAGGCGCTGATCGGACCGGCCGCGGTGACTGTATCTGAAATGATTTGCACTGGTGGACATGAAGTTACCGGAGCAGCTGTGGGCACATACCGAAAGCTGCCGCCAGGATCATCGACAGCAGTGACAACGGTCCCTGTGGCGTCCGGACCTTTCTGGAGCGGGTCGTGAAGGGTCCACCTAGAGAACGTGGAAGTGACACAGGGACGAGGGGCTGCGCCGCTGTCCTACTGCTTAAAACAATGAAGACTTAACAAGGAGGAACCGTGCTGTGAGAGAAGACACGAGGCTCCTGCAGATCATGCAGAAACCCACCACTGCTCCACCTTGTTAAGGTGGATAACGCCGTCGTGCCAAATCATCGGTGCACTGCTGCACAACTAGCCGTGAGCTGGAAAAGAAAGGTTCAAGGGAACAATGAGAACCTTCAGGAGTACGCAGATGGTTCTGATGTCATCTCAGAACTTTATAATATGGTTCGGCATCGTGGGGCGAAGACAAAGAGTGTTTGAGACTGTCAGTTTCAACGGAAACCTCCCTGTTGGGGTTCTTGTGAGATGTAGACAGGAACCAGTCGCTGTAATGGCGGACATAAAGGCCATGTTTCATCATGTGATTCTGTGGTGGCCTAAAGGAGGCCGCAGGATTGAAGTTCACGTCTTCGGAGTACCAGTTGTGCCACGTGTGCTCTGAAAAGCGCGTCTGATTGTCATCAGGCTGACCTCAGAGACAAAGTGCTGCAGAACTTCGCAGGTTGAAGCATCTCCAGAGCTCAGTGTGGATAAAGTGCAGTGAGCACTCAGCGTACACACACCGGTGTGCAGGATCAGCTTTGTTCATGTTCATGGATAACCAGGTGGAAATCTGGAACTAAGCTGAATGAACATGACAGAAAGATTTACAGCTGGGCCGGGTTTCAGTGATTACTGTAGATAAAACTAGGGACGCACCCAAATACAAACAGCGAACAAGTACATTCACATTTTATCCATTTATTTTCTCGCTGCATAAATTAACAAAATGAGCTTTTTCCTCAGTGTTTCCCACAGGATGTGGAGAGACTATGGTGGGGGGGTCCGGGGCCCGAGAGGGCCATTTCCTTTTAATGGACACATGTGACATGTTTTATACTTTCTGTAAATATAATCCATTTAATCTTATTTCCATCCTGTACAGACGCCTTATTTTGAAAACCGGGCGTGGTCACATGTGTTTTCTCCTCGCGCTAAATTCATCCAGTCCGACCCGGTTTGATAAATAATGTTGAACATGAAACTTCACAGCCTCTCTTCATACTAAAGAGACAAACTGACAGGATAAAGTCTCTAACCTGCCTGTCAGCTCGCTCTGGGCCGCTTCACTTACCGTAAAGGCAGGATACGTGTGCACTCTGATGTAGGTGCAGCTATCTTCCACGCTGCTGACATGTCAACGTGATTGTTTGATAAAATTTATTTGGTCTTTTGACTTTTGGTGGCTGAACATTCGGTGCATCCCTAAGAAAAACGCGACTTTATTCTCCGGTTTTGGTGAACCTGGATCGTATTGATGTCCTCCGGCTGCTCTGCTTCAACAATTCCCTGATGGACAGATCTTACTTGTTCCTGAAGTACCGCTAACTGCTGCTATCTGCCGCTAACTGCCGCTAACTGGAACTAACTGCTGCTAACTGCTGCTAACTGGAACTAACTGCTGCTAACTGGAACTAACTGCTGCTAACTGGAACTAACTGCCGCTAACTGCTGCTAACTGCTGCTAACTGGAACTAACTGCTGCTAACTGCTGCTAACTGCCACTAACTGGAACTAACTGCTGCTAACTGGAACTAACTGCCGCTAACTGCTGCTAACTGCCACTAACTGCTGCTAACTGCCGCTAACTGGAACTAACTGCTGCTAACTGCCACTAACTGGAACTAACTGCTGCTAACTGCTGCTAACTGCCACTAACTGGAACTAACTGCTGCTAACTGGAACTAACTGCTGCTAACTGGAACTAACTGCTGCTAACTGCTGCTAACTGGAACTAACTGCTGCTAACTGCCACTAACTGGAACTAACTGCCACTAACTGGAACTAACTGCTGCTAACTGCCACTAACTGGACCTAACTGCTGCTAACTGCCACTAACTGGAACTAACTGGAACTAACTGCCACTAACTGGAACTAACTGCCGCTAACTGGAACTAACTGCCGCTAACTGGAACTAACTGCCGCTAACTGAACTAACTGCTGCTAACTGCCACTAACTGGAACTAACTGAACTAACTGCTGCTTACTGACTGCCACTAACTGGAACTAACTGCTGCTAACTGGAACTAACTGCCGCTAACTGGAACTAACTGCCGCTAACTGGAACTAACTGCTGCTAACTGGAACTAACTGCC